AAATTTCTGATTTTAAATATAGGGTAATCAATTAGGTACCAATTTTGGGCGCTTGTGGGGGTGCTAATCCTTCCCCACGCGTAACTGACTCCCGAACCTGATTTCTGGATTTTTCGCAGACCCCAAAACTCGGTATTTTATTAAAATAAAATGTTTTATTAAAATCACCCTGTTTTTACGGTGTTCCAATCGCACCTTAAATGATTGGTGGCGACTCCTCACATTTTGAAAATCATTTCAAAGAGAAAACCCCCGAGTCGATATCGGTCTTTTCCCTTCGGGCGAAAAACGGTTACGACAGCTTGGCGACTCCGCTGGGGACTTTTGTTTTTTTAAACAAATTGAGAGTCGAGCCACGAGTTGGTTACCCTATATTTATTATTTGGAAATTATGAGTTCAATCTTGTTTAATTTACGATTCATTATGTTATTTCAAAAAAAAACAAAAAAAAAGATTTTCTCTCTGATTAATGCTTACATTTCTGTGAAATATTTAGAATTGTTGCATATCATAGCTCTAAACCTGAGCTCAATCCTAGTATACTTAAGTAGAGAGAAACGTCACACCTCATGAGAGCATTGGGCTTTCTTGTGTGGGTCTGACAAAGTATCTCTGGAAAGCACCCTAAGTTGCCTATCCGGATATCAGTTCCGAGGTACGCTTTTAGTGGTGTGATCCCCTGAGCTGAACCCGATTCGCAAGTCTGTAATGGGCCAGAATCGGGGTCAACCTTAGCAGGTTGTAAAGATGGCTTAGGAACCTTTTGTTAAGAACCCAACCTCATATAAAGAATTTAGTAAGCCTACCTCGTTAAAGCCATAACTTAGAAGAATTAGATCGCATGATGTTAGGATTTTTTATTTTCTTTGATTATTTTGCATTCGATACTTTAAATTTTTACTAATTATTCTTTGATTTTTTTTAATTATTCTAATATCACTAACTTATTGCTTTGTTTCTTGATTGCATGTATCATTATCATATCACATCATTTAATAAACGGTATTGATTCCCAGATTACCTAGTTATTATAAAAAGCTTAAGGCAATAATGTCTTCCGATGGGATTGAGAATGCAATCAGTGTTCAGACCTGGTCTGAATACAAACAAACACGGTTCGGGGACAGCCTTGCCACTACCGAAGATACAGTTTTTCCAGAAAAGGTAATCATTCGAGTCAGGCAGGCACATTGGGTTGAGTTATCAAGAATTTGGTCCACCTGGGATGATAATGAGAAGACATTGTTCAGAGGGATATACGGCGACATCGTAGAGCTGCTGAGAGTACCAATAAATTCAGTGGTGATTCGAGCCCTTGCCGAATGTTGGAATCCAGCTTACAGATGTTTTACTTTCGGTAAAGTAGACATGACCCCTACCTTAGAGGAGTATACGACTTTGCTGAACATTCCGAATATTAGAAGACATTCCATTTACACCAAGGCAATTCGACCTAAAGGGTTCATAGCCAAGATGATCACGTTGACGGGAAAGACCAAGGAGTGGGTTGAAGAGTACATTCGTGATGAAGGGATCTCCTGGGCTCAGCTGAAGAGTTTAATTTACGAGCAAACTCCGTCGAAAAGAAGAAGAGATCACTTCGCACTTGCAGTATATGGTTTGGTAATTTTCCCCAGGAATGAGGATCACTTCGACATCACCTTAATCGATTTCGTCGAAGCTGTCGCTAGAAAGAATCCTGCACCAGCCATCCTTGCAGAAACATTCTTGTCACTGAACCAGTGTAGACGATTAGGGGAGGTCAATTCATCGGATGTGTTTCACTATTACTAGTTTGGTGGTGGAGCCACTCCTGGATAGTCGAGAAAGGCTGGGCTCGGAGACATCAATCAAATTTTTCACCTCTAGTGGATTTCCTCGACAAATGCCAAATCCCAGAGCATCGCAAGAGGAAAGACTGGGTTGAAGCTCTCCGTAACATGAAAGATACTGAGATAGTATGGAAGGCTTATTGGTTACCCAAAGAGGACATACTTTTTAGGTGCGGTAATGATAGTTTTATAATGCTACACGGATTATGGGAGCTATCGGTATACTCCGCTAATTGTACTCAGACAGTTTGGTACCCGACAGTTCGTACCAGCTACCCATGGCCTGAAAGAGGCAGAGTTTTCTTTCTCTACTCCGGGTTACCGAGAGCGGATTTCAAAGATCTACGCGGCTTGGCAGAAGCCTCAATGCATGAGCTTCAAGATGATAGAGCCTGTATTCACGCCGGCCTATGAGGTTTGGAGGTCGCAGAGAATTAACAACAACACACCTAAGCCAAATTTAGAGGACCATTGACTATGGAGGAGCGATTGAGGAGGCTCCCAACAAAACAGAGTTGTTAAAAGAGGAAATGCGACTGATGAATTTGAAGAGAGAAAAAGAACAGAGAAGCTTTTCGGAGGAGAAAACAATATGGGAACTTGAAATGATTAAGAAGGACGGAGTGATAAAACAATTGGCCAAAGAGAAAGAAAAGGTCCAGGAGAATTTTGATGCGCTAAACCAAGATTTTCGGGCCTTAGAGAGGAATATGAGAGCCCAAGATCTACATCATACTGCCAAGACCCTAAAGATAAAACTCGATAGGGTAGAAAGAAGCGCAAGAAGAAGCCAAGAAGAAAAGAAACGATCCATACAACACGCTCGGAAACTGAGAGAGCAAAGAGATGAGACTAACAAGAATTAGCACAAAGGCGAGCACAGATTGAACAACTCAAAGCACAGCTGCTTAGCATCGATGAGACTTTTCGGAACCCTTACAACAGTCTTCAAAAAGAAAATGAATGATAAGAAGAGATAGTTGAGCTAGAAAGAGCAGGGTTAATCCACTCATCCGCACAAGAGGTAACCATGCAAGAAAACGAGGCCTTAAAAGCCAAGATTACTGAGTTAGAAGTCATAGTGCATAGATCTCATCAGCGAATCCAACAGCTAGAAGAGAGCCGACCATTAACTAATCCAGAGCTTGGAATTGCTCTACGACAGGCTCAGGACACCATTCAAATGCAATATGAAGCAATGGAGAGAGCAGTGGATCAGGCTCGCGATGTAGCTCGCCAAGTTTATGAATTATCTGAAGAAGCGACAGCTTTAAGAGTTTTTGTGATTCCAGAATCAGAGGAAGAACGCCGCATCATCGGATTGATGATAGAGCTCGAGAGATTAGGGAATAGGGCAATATTCTATGTTTAGTATCATGTCGATATAATCTCTTTGCCTAAGTGCTTAGACGTTGTGTGTTGTTGAGTACTTTTATATAAACTAAGTTATTTTGGAATCAATATCGGGTTGCATTTGCATTAGCATTTTCATATGTTTTTTTTTTCTAAATTTTTAAAATCTTAATGATTACATTATAACAATTCATTCATTAAAATTCACCAAATAATAAAATACAATTTCCAATCATTTGTAGTTATTCTGGCATACACCTCACACCCATACGGTACTCGTCAATCAACCAAGAAATGGATGACAAGATCGCACAAATTGAAAAAACTCAAGCTGAAATGCAAGAGAATTTAAAGAAAGCGCAAGAGGATATGCGCGAACAGATGATGAAGGCTCAAGACGACATGATGGCAAAGTTGATTAGTTTGCTACAAGGAAATAGTATAATCCGAGAAGAGACTCCAATTATCAGTCATACTGCCGAAGAACCATTATATCCCCCTGGTTTCACACCACCGCATTTCCACGCACAACAAACCACAACCATCCAACCAAAAAAATACAAGTAAACCTACCTGGCTCTTCTACAAACCCGCAACCAATTGAAGATGTCCCTGATCTGGATGAGGAAGACAAAAAAGAACAGGATAAGGAGATTAAGAAAGAATGGAACAAATGAAGCATGAATTCCGAGCTATGAAAGAAGATGCTAGCCTATATGGAATTGACGCCAGAGAGCTAAGTCTGGTCCCTGATTTAGTGTTGCCGCCGAAGTTTAAAGTTCCAGATTTCGAGAAATTTGATGGCACCAGTTGTCCTTCTGCACATATTACCATGTTTTGCAGAAAAATGACAGGCTATGTGGGAAACGATCAGTTATTAATTCATTGTTTTCAAGAAAGCCTGGCAGGATCAGCAATTCGTTGGTACAATCAGCTAAGTCGGGCTAATATTAAATCCTGGAAGGATTTGGCTAAGGCTTTTCTAGAGCAGTATAAGCATGTAAAAGATGTGAGGCCAAACCGAATTCTGTTACAGAGTATGGAAAAAAGATCCAACGAGAGCTTCAGGCAGTATGCCCAAAGGTGGAGAGATGTGGCTGTGCAAGTTTATCCACCATTAGAGGAGGAAGAAACTAATATGTTCTTTGTAAATACTCTGAGGGCCCCTTTCTTTGGACATCTTATTGGAAATTCGTCCAAGAATTTTGCTGATATAGTTAATGCAGGAGAAATGATTGAGATGGCGATCAAAAGCGGGAAGCTAGACGGGGAGAATCTAGCCGAAAGCCTCCAGCAAGAAGGAAGGATAATGAGGTCAGTAATGTGAAGAAATATGATTCTAATAACATTACAGTATCTCGACCACAAGCCACTGTATCGTCAGCACTAAATCCTGTCCAGCAAGGGGCGAAAGAACCAAGACAGGAAAGGGAAAGGGTTCAATTTGACCCTATCCCCATGACCTATAAAGAACTATTCCAGATCCTGTATGACAAACATGTGGTGTCACCTTACCACACTTCTCCAATACAGCCTCCTTACCCAAAATGGTTTGACATCAATGCTCAATGTGAGTATCATGCAGGGGCATCGGGGCATTCAATTGAAAACTGTCTGGCCTTTAAAAAGTTGGTGCAGAGATTAAGACAAAGAAATGTCATCAATTTTGGTGACAGGGAGCAGCCCAATGTGGCTCAGAACCCACTGCCGAACCATGCAGGGACAGGAGTTAATGCTGTTATTGAAGAAAAAGGGAACGAAATCATTACCAAAGTCAAGAAGTGAAGTCACCCATGCATTGGGTATGGGGGCAAATGGTCAAAATAGGCTGGTTGACCTTTAATGCTAACGAAAATAAGCATGCTTGCCCCTACCACCGTTGCGAGGATCATGTCATTCAAAGTTGTGATGAGTTTAAGGCTTTGGTTCAAAGGCTGATGGATAGTAAAGATATGGAATTTTACCATAAAGCTAAGAAAGAGAAAGAGATTGAGATTTGCGCTTCCGAAGACACATCTAAGGGAGTTTACAATACCAACTGCCCTTTAGTCATCACACCGAAAGCCCAGACTATGGAAAGGTTAATCCCTAAAATAGTGATCACGCCTCCGTCGTCCTTTCCTTATAAGGACAACAAGCAGGTCCCTTGGAGGTATGGATGCCAATTAAAGAATGTTGAGAGTTCAGAGGCTGCTAAGGAAGAGGTGGACGAGGTAGGTCATTTCACCAGAAGTGGGAGATGTTATTCTTCCAACCAGACCAGTGAACCTGAGAAAAGGATGACCGTTGATAAAGGAAAAAGGGTTGAGATATTATTGAAAAATGATGAGCCGACAATTAATGAGCCTGTAACCGAGAATGATGCTGTAGAGTTTTTAAAATTCTTGAAACATAGCGAATATAGCATTGTTGAACAATTACACAAATTGCCAGCTCGTATCTCAATCCTAGCTTTACTATTAAGCTCTGAGGCACATCGAAACGCCTTGTTGAAAATTTTGAATCAGACCTTCGTACCGAAAGATGTACCAGTGGAAAAAATAGACCGACTGGTTGCAAATATTCAGGCGGATAACTTCATCTCTTTCTCTGATGACGAGATCCCGTCCGGAATGATGGGCAATCCCAAAGCCCTGCACATTACCATCCAATGCAAGGGACATGCGTTATCGCGAGTACTAATTGACAACGGCTCTGCCCTGAATGTGATGCCATTAGTAACCTTGAAGAAATTACCAGTCGATAGTACACACATGAGAAATTGCCAAAGCATCGTTCGAGCTTTCGACGGAACAAAGAAGGAGGTGCTGGGGAAGATTGATATTCCTTTAACCATAGGCCCATCAACATACGAGGTTGAATTCCTTGTAATGGATATAATGCCCTCATATAACTGCTTGTTAGGAAGGCCTTGGATCCACCAGGCAGGAGTCGTTCCATCTACTCTGCATCAGAAACTCAAATTTGTAATTGAGGGGAGATTGGTATGCCTTAATGCCGAGGAAGATATCATTGCTTCCATATCTACTACCGCTCCATATGTTGAAGTAGATGAAGATGCAGTCGAGTGCTCTTTCAGAGCCCTGGAATTTATTAATGCCACATTTGTTGCTGAAAGAAAGAAAATTCCAAAGCCTAGGTTATCAAACTGTACCAAAATGGGACTGAAAATGACCCTGGGAAGAGGAGCCAAGGTTGGAAGAGGGCTAGGGAGTCGCTTACAGGGGAATATTAGTCCAGTTTTTCCCGGTTTTAAGCTAGATCGTTTTGGTCTAGGATATCACCCGACCTTAAAGGAAAAATTGAAAATGTTCAAAAGAGCCAGGAAAAGAGAGCCAGGTTAGCCAGAGAGGATATTAAGTGGGAGCCTATGATTTTCCCATCGCTGCGTGACACCTTCATATCAGGGGGCCACATGTTTCAGGGGGACCGATCATCTAAAGAGCCTATTATTGAAAATGCCCTGAGGGATTTGGGTATAAATGTGATATCAGAGGAAGGAATCGAAGATGGAGTGGCTATGGACATTTACCCTGCACCACCAGGCTTTGTGCTAAACAATTGGACTGCAGAAGAATTACCTGTAGTTTACAAAACTATTTCAGAGTAATGCACAAAACTTTCCCTATTGTCTAAACCTTGAGACAATATGTGATCTTCTGTAAGGGGTTAATCTATCTGTTTTTTAATAAATGATGCATTCCTGTTAATTCACGAAATGGCAAACATCATCTATTGCATTTTTTATTTATTTCTTTATTATATATTATTATTTCATTCTATTTTGATATGGGTTAGATCCTCCTGTATTTGTATATGTATATATATCCTCTCGTTCGTTATTCTTTCAGGACCTCTGGTATCAATAGTATGAATGCTGATGACTTTGACCCGAAGATAGATTTCGAGCTGCCCATATGTCAAGGGGAAGTTGAAGGTTATGATAGTGATGAGGGAAGTGACTTACCTTCTGAACTACTAAAAATGGTAGAGAGAGAAGATAAACAAATTCTGCCTCATGAAGAGCCCATTGAGATCTTGAATCTGGGATCAGAGGAAGATAAAAAGGAGATAAAAATTGGCACCATCATATCTACTGAGGGACGAAAAAGTCTGATTATGCTGCTCAAGACTACAAAGATGTGTTTGCTTGGTCGTATGAGGACATGCCAGGTTTAGACACTGAGTTAGTGGTACATAAATTGCCAATAAAGCCTGAATGTAAACCGGTACAACAAAGCTCAGAAGGATGCGACCTGAAATGCTGCTTAAAATTAAAGAAGAAGTAAAGAAGCAATTCGATGCTGGGTTCCTAAAAGTAGCCAAGTATCCGGAATGGGTAGCGAATGTTGTTCCAGTACCAAAAAAAGATGGAAAAGTTCGTATGTGTGTCGACTACAGAGATCTTAATCGAGCCAGTCCGAAATAATTTCCCTTTGCCACACATAGACACCCTGGTGGATAATACGGCTGGAAATTTTCTATTTTCATTTATGGATGGGTTTTCAGGTTACAATCAAATAAAGATGCATCCAGATGATATGGAAAAGACTACATTTATCACCATGTGGGGCACGTTCTGTTACAAGGTGATGCCGTTTGGGCTGAAGAATGCAGGGGCAACCTATCAAAGGGCCATGGTAACACTATTCCATGACATGATGCATAAGGAATAGAGGTCTACGTTGATGATATGATTGTTAAAGCTAAAACGGAGGAAGAACACATCGAGAATCTAAGGAAACTCTTCCAAAGATTAAGGAAATGCCAGTTAAACTCAATCCAAGCAAGTGTACCTTCGGGGTAACATCGGGAAAACTCTTGGGTTTGTAGTAAGCAAAAAGGGATTGAAGTGGATCCTGACAAGGTCAAAGCTATTCAGAATTTACCACCCCCACAAACACAAAAAGAAGTTCGAGGATTCCTGGGAAGATTAAACTATATTGCCCGATTTATTTCGCAATTAACCGAGAAGTGTGACCCTATTTTTCGCCTTCTCTGTAAAAATAACCCAGGAGTATGGAATGATGATTGCCAAGGAGCTTTGAAGCAATAAAAAGATATTTATCGAATGCTCCAGTCTTAATGCCACCAATATCAGGCAAACCATTAATCCTCTACTTGTCAATCTTTGAGAATTCAATGGGGTGTGTATTAGGGCAACATGATCAACTGAAAAAAGAGAAAGAGCAATCTATTACCTCAGCAAAAAGTTCACTGATTGTGAGGTAAGGTACTCGTCAATAGAAAAGTTGTGTTGTGCTTTAGTTTGGACTACCCGAAGGCTCAGGCAGTATATGTTGTATCACACTACTTGGCTGATATCTAACTTGATCCTCTGAAATATCTAATGGGTGTACCTGCTTTATCTGGAAGATTGGCTCGTTGGCAAATCTTATTGTCTGAATTTGATATCCAATATGTAAGTCAAAAAGCAGTTAAAGGAAGTGTTGTGGCCGATTTCATTGCAAGTAGGGCTTCTGAAGAGTATGAACCACTGAACTTTGATTTTCCAGACGAAGATTTAATGGTTATTTCAACTGAGGAGGCATTTTCCTATAATAATGAACAATGGAAGATGAATTTCGATGGTGCCTCGAATGCCTTGGGGCACGGGATTGGGGCAATTCTCGTCTCACCTGGTGGAAAACACTATCCTTTCACCAGCCGATTGAATTTTGATTGCACAAATAACATGGCCGAGTATGAAGCATGTATTCTGGGTCTTAGAGCGGCCATTGAGCGTAAGTGAAAACACTCAAAGTATACGGGGATTCAGCACTGGTAATTTATCAACTCAGAGGTGAATGGGAAACAAAGGATACGAAGTTGGTGGAATACCGTAAGTTGGTCCTAGAGCTCATTAAAGAATTCGAGAGAGTGACATTCCATTACCTTCCCAGAGAAGAGAATCAAATGGCGGATGCTCTGGCCACTTTGGCAGCAGCCTACAAAGTCAATGAATATTCAAGCATGATGCCTATTACGATGCAAGCTTACGGGTATCCAGCCCATTGCTATAGCATAGAAGATGAAAATGATGTAAATCCTTGGTATTACGACATCATGCAATATATTAAATATCAAAGCTACCCTGAGCATGCCACTGAGAATGACAAAAGAACTATTCGAAGAATGGCGGTAGGGTATGTGCTTGATGGTGATATCTTGTACAAGAAGAGTCATAGTCAGGTCTTGTTGCGATGTGTGGATGCCAAAAAGCCAGAACAATTATTGAAGAAGTGCATGAAGGAGTATGTGGTACTCATGCTAATGGACACGCAATGGCTAAACAAATAATGAGATTTGGATATTATTGGTCAACCCTGGAAACTGATTGTATCAATTTCTCCAGAAAATGTCACAAATGCCAGATTTATGGAGATAAGCTCCACACCCTCCTCATCCATTGCACGTAATGACTGCTCCATGGCCATTCTCTATGTGGGGCATGGATGTCATTGGGCAAATTTTACCCAAAGCTTCTAATGGCCATCGTTTTATATTCGTGGCAATAGACTACTTCACTAAGTGGGTAGAAGCGGCCTCCTATGCAAATGTCACTCAGTCAACAGTTTGCAAGTTCCTGAAGAGAGAAATTATTTGTCGGTATGGGCTACCAGAAAGGATCATCACCGATAATGCCTTGAATTTAAACAATAAGATGATGGAGTCAGTATGTAAACAGTTCCAGATTAAACATCATAATTCCACCACTTATCGCCCAAAGATGAATGGAGCGGTAGAGGCAGCTAATAAGAACATCAAGAGGCTCATACAGAAAATGACTGAGACTTATAGAGACTGGCATGAGAAGCTACCATTCGCTCTGTTTGATTATCGAACTTCAGTAAGGACGTCCACTGGAGCAACTCCATTTTCTTTAGTTTATGGCATGGAGGCTGTGTTACCCATTGAGGTCGAGATTCCGTCACTACGAGTGCTGTCAGAGGTTAAGTTAGATGAAGCAGAATGGGTGCAATCTAGGTATGATCAGTTGAACCTGATTGAGGAAAAAGATTAAAAGCTATCTGTTATGGGCAAATGTACCAGAAACGTATGATAAGGGCACATAATAAAAAGGTTCGTCCACGAGAGTTTCAAGAAGGAGACTTGGTGCTAAAAAATTTTGTCAATTCAGAAAGACTTTCGAGGAAAATGGATGCCAAATTGGGAAGGACCTTATGTCGTAAAGAGGGCCTTTTCTGGAGGAGCTTTGATCCTCACCGAGATGGATGGACCAGTTACCTAACCCTGTGAATGCTGATGTAGTCAAGAAGTATTTCGCTTGAAAAAAAAAAATGAAAAAGACAAAAATGAAAAATGAAAGAAAGAAAAAAAGAAAAGAAAAAAATAAAAGGAGGGTTCAAGATGAAAACCCGTAAAGGACGCTTGTAACCAGAAAAGGTCTCAGGTTGAAAACCCGTAAAGGGCGGCTTGAGAATTGTGTAAATTCAGAATTCGTGCATGGTGGAGCTGAATTAGTTGGGTAACCAGAAAGTAATGAGATTCAAACACTGGCTTATGGCATTCAACAGTCGGGAATTTGGCAGTATTGGGGGAACTTCACACCCTTACGCATTACCATAATCCTCAAGATCTCCTTGACAGAAGCTACACTCGGGTCCTCTTACGGCGTGCCAGTTCAAAAGCATTCATACTATTGATGTCTGATGACGCCTACTGTATTTTCTTTTGATTATTCCTTTTAAAAGTTTGTCATGTATTCACTCAAAAAAAAAAAAAAAAAAAACTCTTTATTTATAATAAAAGATGTTTTTAACCGCATTGTAAGCATCCTGATTAAAAATAAAAACATATAGATTAGCTCGGGAAACATGAGATCATTGTGCATTATTGTACAAAAAAATTGTTTTGGAAATACAGATATTCTGAAGCCGAAAATGGTTTTAGCATAAGGCTTATGCAATGTTAGACCATAAGAAGTTAAAGCCTTGGGATATACGCGAATGCTTAACAATTGAGGATAACCCAAGAGGTTTTGTCACTAATTAAATAGTGGGTCATGAGAAGCACATGGGTTCAAAGAGTAAAGAGAATCAGAGTCAGGCTCAACCAAAGAGTGCCCAATCAGGGTTTTCGATTGAGATAAACTGCTGTTGATTTTTCGTGCCCAAATCAGTCTGAAGTACAAGGCCATTAACAAAAGAAAATTCTCGTTTGAAAAGAAAATACCCTCAAATAATTGCATCATTGCACACATTTTAGGCATAAACATGATCATGACATAAAATGCATAATAATGAGTGCTTGCAGATTCTCCTAAAAGAAATGGCAAGATGTAAAACCCAACAAAGAAATAACCAATTAGAATTTCCATGTTGGTCGTGGCAATACAAGCTTCCGCAAGAGAAATTTCTTCCAAAACTTATCTTCTCAAGATTTTCAGGTATGATGTTTTCGAATCCTCAAACACATATTAACAAAGGTTAATGTTTAATTTTTAGGTTCGATCCCGATTTAATGGATCAACTCCCCAGATCTGATATTCCCTTCAGAGTAAGTGGAACAGGTCTCTCTTCTCCAAGA